AACAGCAAAAAGTCTATTACCTTTTCATGATCTCCCCTCTTCCCTCTAGAACGCACCAGCCTCTCTTTTTGTTTCCTGGAAATAAATATTATAATCACAGAAATATAATACTCATATTACTTTTCACTAGAGTTTCTCCTGTCTGGTAATGCAAGGTTTCAAAACAATACTAACACAAATCTAATAGAATATTGACTGACTTGGAGACAAGGCTGGTGAGATTAATTCCACAATAACTCCATATCTATAGAATATGACTCCAATAATACCTCAATCAAGGAACATAAACTCATTCTTAATCTTACAGAAGCATTTAAGCCTGAGTATGATCAAGTGCTTAACTTTTAATTTGACTTAGAATTTCAGAGTTTCATTGAAAGATGTACTCAGATCCTACTGGTTCACCAAGTGCAGATACCTTTGTGGTTAAACTGCAGTCAAGTTTCCACAGCACACTCTACTCTCCCACCTGGGAAACACCTGCAATTCTTCCCTCATCTGTACAGACATGTGTTCTGTATCAAGTATCTCTTTTAAATAATGAAATCAGGGAGGTGGTGTGATTAAAAGTACCAGTGTGGGTGGTCCTAATTCAGGTTTTGCCTAGTCCATGGATTTACTGTTAAGGAAGCCACTACCTTTCGGCCTCATAATCTCCAAATCAAATGTGAGGATAATCCTTCTCATGGTCATACTGTTAAAATTGCTAATGCATATGAATACTCCACCACCCTACCTATACTTTTTTTTTTAATCTCACCCATCTTCTAACTCATGATGGTCTCCTCTTCTGCATGCTGTCATTACAGCGACCCAGTGAGGTAGGTCAGGCAGAAAGACAGTGACTTATTTATTTATTTTTAATTTTATTTACACCTTGCCTTTCTTGTTGAGATTCAAGGCAGATTGCACAATGCAAATCAATGCAATGAAATGTACTTGAAACATCCAGCAAGCAATATGAGAGCACTAGGAGCACAAAACTTAGAAATGATACAAACAAGCAAAAAAAATCAGATACGGTATGTCATAAACAATGCAAAAAAGAACGGACTTACAAAAGTAGAAAGCAATACAGGGGCAGATCTACTATGAAACTAATGAAATTTAAACTTAAGGGCCCCTAATCCTGAAGGAGCCCTAAAGCAACTTTTTTTAAAAAAATGAGTGAATTTTTCAACAAGATTGATGGAGTTTTTTTTAAGTGTTTGTTATTAAAATGAGGCTATTTTAGCGACAGAATCATAAGCCAATGGGTTGAAGTACTTAATATTGACCTTAGAATATGCTCTAATATGGGCCTCAAGGTCTTTGCAAGGTCAACAAGGCCCTTTGGACCTTGTTGGATGTGGCCCTATTGTCCTGGTTGAGAAGGGCCCCCCACAACAGTTCAAGCTTCAGGGTCCCAAAAATGTAGGCCCACCACTAAAGCAATATAGTATGCAAAAGAATACATACAATAAACAGAAACAGACATGTTCCTTTAAAAAATGTGCCTTCAATTCAGTTAAACTATGGCCTTATTGTCTGGTCCAAGGTCACCCAGTGAGCTCAGTGGAGAGCCAAAAACTAGCTCTCCCCAATTTTTGTCCAATGTTCTAACCACTGTACCACACCAGCTTTCACCACCCTCATAAGCACTAGGTTGATATATGAGGATGATGATGCTGTATAATACCTGCATTTTAATTATGTAAATCCCAAACCAGTTTTACCTTGAGACTGGTGTGCTTTGTAATGGCATGTTAATTGCAGGAGAAAATTAACTCTCCTCCAAAAGAGGTCTCTAGGGTTGTTAGTAAACAATACTGTGCAGAAAGAAATGGTTAGGACAAAACAAAACAAAGCCTGCAAATGAAGAACACTTCCAACCACTAGTTTTGTGTCTAGTTCAATTGCCTCGAGTTTATTGTTTATAATAGTTATAGATTTTTAAAATAAGCTTTTAGCATTTTTATAGCTTCATTTTACAATAATTGAATTAGTGTTAGCCACCTTGGGAACACTGCTGAGGCGGGAAAATCAAAAATAAATTTGGAGGGGGGGAATCCTTTCTTGACTGTTACTTTTAACAACTGATATTGGTGTTGTATATTTATGGCAGGTAGTCAATGCCAAGAAAATGCAAACCGGTCAGCCTTAGCTTGCACAGAAACATTAAAAGAACTCCAGGTTTTCTTGGTGTGAGAAAGTCTCTGTATGTCTCCAGCGACTGAATTGCTCTGAAATAGTTATTTCCACATCTTCAAACTTGGATTTTCTAATTTCAAAATGATAGAATAGCAAGGATTTAAACAGTGTTGATTTTCTTATAATTAGAACTATCTTCTGTCATTTATCTGAGGTCACTATAAGTAAGAAGTTATGAAGCAATACCAGAAATCAAAGATTGAGTGAAATCTGCACTAGGAAGGCAATTCAGTTCTATAGTCTTCTTCCTTTAAATATTTCCCAACTTGTTTGCAATAAATCACCCTCTCTACGCTGTTATTATAAATACTTTTGATCTTTGCCTCCTCATTGCTGCTTTACCCAGAACACAGACATTGAATTTTAAAGCACCCAAGCAATGGTGAACCTCCAAACCATCTAAAGAGTTGTTCAGTGTCCAAAGTTGCTCATGGGTTGAAATAGATTGGATCAACACTGAAATAAATCAAGTGCAAGGTCGTGGGGGTTTCTTAAGAATGCAGGTTTCTCTTAACAAGGTAATCACCCTATCATCACTTTCTAGCCTTAATAATGATACTAAACAAAGTCGTCAAACCATTAACATAACAAGTTTTAAACATTTTCACAGACTTTGTTCACTTGCAGACAGCACAAAATCAGTTCAGAGTAGCCATTTTCTCTCTAATCATGGAACTGTGATGTCTCAATCAATTGCCCTTGATGGGTCCTTATACTCTAAGGACGATGAAATAACAGCACTGTATTTCTCAAAAAGAATACTGGCTAAGTAAATTCAACTCCGTCCCAAAACCCTAATTATCTTGGGGAACTTTTATTTATCCACCAAAACTCATCCCCCCCCCGAAATAAACAGAATACAGGGCAAACAAACTACATGGGACCTGCTTTTTTTGGGGGGGGGGATAAATTTCCTTGATTGGTTTAAAGAAGAGTAGAAATGTTACTCTTGGTACAGAACAGTATCCTGTAGACACAAAGAGCTGCAGAATGACCATGAACTTTGTACTACCCTGCATACTTAGGTATGCAAGAGTAGCTTTCCATGAGTACATCTAAGCCTGTAATTTTGTTGTCCTATCATTTAGCTGAGAAGATGGGGTGTCATAGTAAGAGGTATTGCCTCATACAGGCAAGGACCCACAAATACATGGTAAATATAATGCAATGTTTCAGACTCAGGCAAAACAGGAAACTCACACATTAAGGGATGCAGTATTCACTTACTTTCATAGTGGATCTTGAATCCATTATTAGAGCGGCTATTGTCTGTTGTAAAGAGAAGGTAAATGAAATTGCTGCTACTGAATAAAAACTGGGGGACTTGTGTGCCATTGTAAGATCCTAGAAGAGGTGACAAAAGGTTGGGTCCATCATGCACTTCTAGAACATCGTAATTGAGTTCTGTCTGGAATCTATAATAGAGAAACACACATACAGACATAAAATATACCCAAAGGTTACTTGCAGAGGAAACGGGCACAACAGAGTAATCATCATCTGGCATTTATATGAAAACTCAGCTTACATTCTAAATGTTACTCATAGTAAACTATATCAGTGATGATGTGTAGATCGTGTCCCTTTCCTTCCATTGAGTTTTCCACTCTTCTACCACATGGGGTCAGATTCACCTGAAATTCTGCACATTGTCTCAGATATCCACGGGAGTATCCCCACTGCACTGCTCTTTGCTGAATGAAATGGGAAACTAGATCATCTCAACCATGTAAAGAATACTTTTTTATCTTGGATTTTTATCTTAGGAATTAGAATACACAGTACTTTCCCACACACAAAAAAGAAATATTAATTTAAGTTACTGAGAACTGAAAAAAGAAGTGAAGTACAAATAAAAAGATACCAATTTAAAAGGGCACACAGATAATGAAAACATTTCTTTTTAAAGTTTCCATCTATCTGAAACCATCCCAATCAATGGATAAAACCATTAATCACAACAGTGTACCTCGCAAACGCCATTCCTAAGGTTATGCAGTGGCTCACTTTCAAATAAATTAATAAATAACAATATAATCTCTTCTGACCTCTCATTCACTGTGATAACTATTTGACTGGACATTTCACTCGATTCAAATACAATGAAATACACAGAAAACAAGCCTCCCTGTGTGATTTTTAAACAACTTGTTATCAGAATGTGTGCAGTTAAGTCACTTCCAACTCATGGTGACCTTATGAATGAATTACTTCCAAAACATCCTATCAGGGGTCGTTTCGTAGAAAAAGAGCTAGGGGAACTCATTAGCATAACTCATTAGCATATACCACACCCCCTGACATCACCAGAAGTGTGTCATAAGGCCACACCCCCTACCATCACTGGAAGTGTGTCATAAGGCCCAGCGGTCGACCTGCAAGGCCGGCGGGAGTGCGAGGAAGCCCCGCCAAGGCCCTCCCTGGCCCCAGGCAGGCAGGGGTGGGGAGAGGCGGGGAGGAAGCAACTTACCCTCCCTCTTCTCCTGCCTCCTCCTGGCTGAATGAGGGCCGGAAGCGGGGCGGCCGGAAGCAGGGGGTGGGGCTTCGTCATGTGCCCCGCCTCCCCGCACCTCACCCGGGGGAACTGCGATCCCCCACGATCCCCCCCGAATCGACCTCTGCATCCTATCATTAACAGCCTTGCTCAGATCTTGCAAACTGAGGGCAGGGTCTTCCTTGACGGTTATCCAAACAGCTGTCTATTAATGGTCCTGTTCTTATAAACAGAATATACTGTTCCCAGTTTATAAACAACAGTGTCAAACAGATCCTAACAATGTCTATGGTAAATTCAGATGACCATGGCCTTATGCAAATAATGTTTGGCTGTGTTTTTCTTTTTAACCATGATTAAGCATTATGTCTGTATACCTACACAACGGTTAAGGATTTCCTGCAGATGAAAATGTAGAATTATGGTTTGAGATGTGGGTTTGTAATGTAATATTGAAATACTACATATTCACTCAGAAAGCCATAACATAGGCAATGGCCCTACATTTCCACCTGCATGGCATCATGGGAGTCTTTGAACATCTCTACCTATCTAGAGTTCCTCTGACCAGGCCTTAGATAGGACAGCTAAATCATGGTTTCACTAAATGGGATCATAACCAGGTTAAGAGACAAACTATGGGAGCGGTACCCATGGTTAAACATTATGGACATTTATATATTAATAACTAAGTCTGGCCCCCATCTGCGGATATCTAAATCCACTGCTTTGGGGCCATGGTGAAAGTAAACATATTTTTCTGCAAACCTGGGAGCCCTCCCCAGGTTTCCGGGGGGGGGAGTCAAATGTTAAAAATATCATTGGGGTAATTGAGCCTGGCACATTTCGCTCTTTCCATGTGTTGTTGGTGAGGGGGTAGCCAGGAGCCACGGAAACCTAGAGGACGTCAGCAGCAATGGTGGGGAGAAGAAGCTGCATCAGTCCTGGTGGTGAGTCTGGGAGGAGCATCTGAATTGCTCTGTTGGCAGCAATCACAGTGTCACCAGTGACAGCAGGGAAAATGGTGGGGGAGAAGCTGCAGCAAACCTTGTGGCAAGGTTGGGAGGTACATCTGGCTCAGCCGCAATGGCAGCAATGGGGGGACTGGCTGGGAGCTGCGGCAGCCCCAGTGACAGTGGTGAAGAGGGGAAGGAGAAGATGCAGTGGGCCTGATGACAGGGCTGGGAGATACACCTGCCCCAGCTGCATTGTTAGTGACAGTGGGGGGTGCTCAGGAGCCACAGCAACCCCGGTAATAGTAGCAGAGATGGGGGAAGAAGCTGCAGTAGGCCTGGTGGCAAGGCAAGGCCAGGAGGCGCACCTTGCCCAGCTGCATTGTCAGCAATGGGGTAAGGTGGATGGGCAGCATCACTCTTCAGTAGCATTGGTATTGTGGAGAGGGGTGGCCGGGAGCCATGGTGAGCCTGGCAGCATTGCCATTTGGTGGGAAAACTAAGGGGTGGAGAGATCCCCCTACAAGTATCACAGGCCTCCACTTGTACATTCTAATTGACCAAACCATAACCATACTGAAACCCAGTCATCATCAATCCATGTTCGTGTAATTATTAAGTACGTGTTCATGTAAGTATTAAGATACTTTTGGAGCTATATTGTCAACCATGCAGTTAGAATCACTGTGCAGTGAAATTTCAAGCAGTAACCACATGTTTGGTAATCTGAATCCATCATCCCACTGCTAAGAACTCTCCATTTTGGTTTGTGTTATGTATTTGGAATGGTAAAGTACAGGAGTGTTTCTACCAGAGACTGGCTGAGCTTGGAGCATAGAACAATAGCTTACCAGGATCCTGGAGAGAACCAATGAAGTAGCAATGTTATGTAAACAGCGTATCCTTGGGAATGGGATGTGTTTGGGTGTGGCAATTGCATGCCATTTAAACAGGGCTGCGGTCCTGGACCAGCAGTCTTGTTCTTGCTGAAATAAAGTAGAGCTGATCACTAGACTTGGGATCTGCTTATCCATGGAACCCACTATTTAACAGTCTGTCTTTCTCATCCACCTCTCACTCAGTCTTGACTATGGTTGCCATCCTTCTATGGTGGGCCTGGAGATTTCCCAGAATTACAACTGATCTCCAGACCACAGAGATCAGTTCCCTTGGAGAAAATGCTTGCTTTGGAGGGTGGATTCTATATCATTACATTCCTGAAGAGCTCTCTCCTCTTCCCAAACTCTGCCCTCCCCAGGCTCCACCCCCAAATCTCCAGGGATTTCCCAACCCAGAGTTGACAATCCTAATCTTCACAGAAGACCAGCTTCTGTTATCTCTTTCTCTGCATGGGCCAGTAGCCATATTTTGGTCCCATACCACAATAAAGATAGAAGAGCCAACAGAGTAAACAAGCCCATCCCTTTATCTCATCACATTTATTTAGGGAACTAGATGTTCCCAGGAGCCAAGCCTCACCCAGTATCAGGCTGTGGTGAAGAAAAGTGTCATCAAGTTACAGCTGACTTTTGGTGCCTCCTTAGGGTTTTCAAGGCAGAGACAAATAGAAGTGGTTTGCTATTGCCTGCCTCTGCATAGCAACCCTGATATTCCTTGATAGTCTCCCATCCAGGGGTCGTTTCGTAGAAAAAGAGCTAGGGGAACTCATTAGCATAATTCATTAGCATATGCCACACCCCCTGACATCACCGGAAGTGTGTCATAAGGCCACACCCCCTGACATCACCAGAAGTGTGTCATAAGGCCACACACACCGCCCCCAACAGTCCCGGCCGCCGGTGCCGGCCATGCAGCTCCACTGCCGAGCCCCATGAGGGGCCCGGCGGTGGACCTGCAAGGCCGGCGGGAGTGCAAGGAAGCCCCGCGAAGGCCCTCCCTGGCCCCAGGCAGGCAGGGGTGGGGAGAGGCAGGGAAGAAGCAACTTACCCTCCCTCTTCTCCTGCCTCCTCCTGGCTGAATGAGGGCCGGAAGCGGGGCGGCCGGAAGCAGGGGGCGGGGCTTCATCATGTGCCCCGCCCCCCGTACCTCACCCGGGGGAACTGCGATCCCCCGCGATCCCCCCCAAAATGACCTCTGCTCCCATCCAAATACTAATCAGGGCTGACCCTTATTAGCTTCCAAGATCTGGGTGTCCTGGGCCATCCAGGTCAGGCTATCAGACCATTAATCATATATAATTATTAATAATATGATTAATCACTGTGCCTTTAATCACACAAAATACCCTGTTGTATTTGCATTATGCAGAAGATAAAAACTATACCCTTATCTACATTCCATATAGGGTTGTGAAGTCCATTTTAGTCCCCAGTAAGGGACTTTGGGGGGCGTTCCCAGAGGGGACGGGACATCCCCATCATGATGATGTCACGCTGGGGATGTCCGCCCCCCCCCTGCCTGCCCGATGGGCATGCGGGGAAACGCTAGCTCCCTGCACTTAAAGGGACCCCTTTAAGTGCAGGGAGAAGGGTGGCTGCAAGTGTTGGGGCTTGGGGGTGGGGCTTCCCCCTTTGGCCAGCTGGCCGGCATGCGGAGAACACCCCAAAAAGTGGAGGACCCCTACCAAACCGGGGTGGGGTGTTTGGCAACCCTAATTCCATATAAATAGGTCAGTCTGAACCAAAATTTTAATTAAGACTCATTTGAATCAGGCCCGTAGCCCGTGTGGGGCCCTGGGGGCCCGGCCTTCCCGCGGATTTTGTGGGGGCCCCCATCCTCTGCTCCCCCCCACCGGCCCGCCCCCTCCCTCCTCCTTGGAGCACTCAGAGGGAAAATAGACGGTAGACCTCCTCCGCTCTGCCTGCCTCCGCTGCTCCGCCCCTCCCAGCACTGACTCATAAGGCGGGGTTATCCGCTCCACCTCTGCTCCTCCGACCTGACCTGCCCAGGCACGTTGCTCTTCGTTCGCGCCTAAAAACGACTGCTGCACATGTCGTGAGTGAAGCTT